GTGTTTGCTTGTTGCAGTTTCTATTCGGCTATCAGGCCTTCAGCTCACTTACTAACATCACTTTGCTTAATTCTTGTGTCCTCCTTCTTACTATCCCTATAATCAGTTGCTTCTAATCTGCTTAGGAAATCAGATAAGTAAGCTTATTAGATTTGCTTCCAAAGAGTAAGTAAGAAGACAAGTAGGACTCCTAAAGTTCAGTGTAAAAAGGCCTGCGCTGGCTGCCTCAGTACAGCCTTTCCTCCTTTCCTTCTTTCCTCCTTTGGGCGGCATTTCATACAGGTGCTGGTGATGAAGGGCGTGCCTTCTCAGCGTGGTTTGATAAGTGATACATTATTGTGTGACATATTCAGGCAATTTGGACAAGTTATTAGTAACTTTGAAAAATATATGCTCTTTGAGGACGGAAATGGAACCACTTCCATTTTCTTCATGCCCTCCCTGTGCCTTGTTTCCCATATAGTTTTGTGTGTGTCATCAAGTACAGCAACATATATCCTAATTATGGTTCCTCTGGCCTCCAGGCCATTGGCCCATTACATGAGAATATAAAAAGAATGAAAGCTAAATATATTTTGCTTTAAAATCAGGCATCTTTTATAGAAATGGTAATGAGAAAGAAATAAAACAGGAGAATGAATAATAAAATACAAGGAGAAAGTCTTATATTTCTCCAATATTTACTCTATCTACTGCTGTTTATTTCTTTATGTAAATCCATGTTTCCAACTGGTATCATTTGCCTTTTGCCTGAAGATCTTTCTGTTACATTTCTTGAAGTGCAGCTCTGCTGATGACAATTTTTGTTTGAATACGTTTTTCTTTTGCCTTTATTCTTAAAACATGTTTTCACTGGATATAGAGTTCTAGGTTACTTCTAGGTTAATACCGTTTTCAAGCTGTCATTTCCGTTGTGTTGTGACTTGCAGGGTTTCTGATGAAGGCTGCTGCTACTTTTGTGTTTGTTGCTGTGTGTACTGTGTCTCTTCCTCTGGCTGCCCTTGTCTGGCTTTAAGCAGTTTGATTATGGTGTGCTTTTCTATGTGTGTGTCTTGTTTGGGGCGTGCAGCTTCTTGGATCTGTAGGTTTATAGTTTCTATCAAATTTGGAAATGTTTTGGCCATCATTTCTTAATCTTTTTCTGTCCTTCCTCTTCTTCCCCTCGTCCCGTGGGCCTGCAGTGTTTTGTGTGTTGAACTGCTTGATATTATCCTTCATGTCTCTGAGACTCTATTCCTTTTATTTATTTATTGAGCCTATTTTGTTTCTGTGCTTATTTTGGATAAGTTCTATTGCTATATTTTTAAGTTCCCTGATTTTTATCTTTACTTCTGCAATGTCTAGTCTGCATTTAATCTCAATTAATGAAATTTTCATTTCAGATATTATATTTTCCTTAAAATCTGTAAGTTCCATTGGGTTCTTTAAAAAAATCTTCCTTTTTTTCCTTACGATTGTCTATGTATTTTAATATTGAACAGAATTGTAATAGAAGTTGTAATATTCTTCTGTCATTTCTCAGAAGTTTGCTGTTTTCTGATTTTTTTTTTTTTTTGCCCCTTCTGATAATGGGCCACATTTTCCTCCCTCTTATGTTTAGAAAATTTTTTAAAAGGCTTCTCTGTACGTAGTGAAGGGATTTTTTATTAGGTGTGTATTGTGAATGTTATGTTGTTAAGTGTCTGTATCTTGTTATATTTTAAGAATATCATGCTTTGTTCTGGCAAAACAGTTAAGTTACTTGAAGTCCTGTCTGATGCCCTGGAGGCCTGCCTTTAACCTCTGATAGGGCAAATTTAGTTTAATTTTCACTCTAGACGTATTTTAATCTCACTAAGATCTGACCTCTCTGGGGTCTCCATTAAATGCCTTCGATGGGTCACCAAGAACATTCCACTTTGGCTGGTTGGAGCTTTCCTACTTGTGTAAACTCTAAGAATTGTTCATTTCACACCTTCTTGGTTGTTTTTTGCCTTGCTTTGTGGAAGTTCTCTCAGACATGTGAGGCCTAGAACTTAGCACATTTCTGTAGCCACCTTTCTGTGTAGCTTCCTTTTTGCTAAGCTCCGTCCTATAATTTCTAGCACCCTCAACCTCTCTGAACTCTGTTCTTTATTGCCTGCAGTGTTTAATCTGCAGGGCTACTAAGTTTGAGTTACCCTTCCCTGTACTTGGTGACCTGGAAATTAACACCTCCAGGCAGAAAGTTGGGGTGATTGTCATCAGCTTATCTTGTTTGTATTTTTTCCTTTCAGGGAGAAACAAACCCATATCCTTATGTAAATTAGCTAAACAGCCAGGTTCTGCACTGCCTATTGTCTGGTGTCTGCAAGTAGTTCTTTTATATATTCTGTCAGGTTTTCTAGCTAGTTATTGCAAGAGGTTAAGTCTGGTCCATGCCTGGTCATCACTGATGCAAGCAAAAATTTCAGGAATTCCATCGAAATTGATTCATTGAAAATAATTCTTGGCAACTGAATACTGTTCTAAATGACATGCCTTCATATGTTAGAAGACTGAACTAAACATAATTACATGAATTTTTGAGTGAAGCATGGTGTCTTCATGTTTCCTGTTTATTTTTTACCTTTCCCACAGACCGGAACTGTTCCCACGCAGCAGAATAATGATTATGGCTTAAGGTAGTAGAATAATGACAGCAGTTCAGATGTTCTTGGAGCTCCCCAGAGGACAGATAGGCTGAGTCAGATCTGTCCTTGTCACTACTAATGCTGGCAGTACTTAGTGGGTGACTTCTCCTTTGGGTTGTTCTTATCCTTTACATTAGACTTAAATTTTACTTTTGGGAAAGCCTTATGAACCACCTTCTGAATCCATCTGAAGTCTATGCTAATTAAGAACACTGTGCATCTGAATCAGTGAAAAATGGATGCGTGGAATGTAAGAACCATCTTGAAACAGCATGGCATAACAAGATAATCTGGCGGATTTAAAGGGAAAGCCGCTAATTTGCATAAGGATATGGATTTGTGAAGATGTCTTTCTTTCCTCCTCCCCCTACCCTCTGTTGAATAAACTGAGCCATGTAATTTGGAGTGTGCATTGTTGGTGAGTCTTAGGGAGCATTGGGGTCCTGTGTAGACAAACTTGGCTGTTGATAATTTAGTTTAAGAAGCAACTAGATCAAGGAAAACAGGATTCCCTTTGTATCTGTTTTTGGGATAGCAATGATTTATTTCCAAATTACTGGTAAAGAACTAATGCCTCTCTCTCAGAAATCATGAAAATTGCCAGCTATAGATTTTTTTGTTTGTTTGCTTGTTTTTTTTTTGAGTCGGAGTTTCGCTCTTGTTACCCAGGCTGGAGTGCAATGGCGCATTCTCGGCTCACCGCAACCTCTGCCTCCTGGGTTCAGGCAATTCTCCTGCCTCAGCCTCCTGAGTAGCTTGGATTACAGGCACGCGCCACCATGCCCAGCTAATTTTTTTGTATTTTTAGTAGAGACGGGGTTTCACCATGTTGACCAGGATGGTCTCGATCTCTTGACCTCGTGATCCACCCGCCTCGGCCTCCCAAAGTGCTGGGATTACAGGCGTGAGCTTGTTTTATTTAAATTACTCTTAAGTTCTTTATTTAGCCTCCTGAATGACTCACTCTTGTACTTGATACATAATCTTTAATTTTACATCATTAAAGTGTTGTTATAAATATGTTGATTTTTAAGAATCCAAAGATGTTTCTTATTTCTTGAGACAGGGTCTTGCTCTGTCACTGAGGCTGGAATGTAGCAGCATGCCCCTGGCTCATTGCAGGTTCAAGCTCCTGGGCTCCAGTGAGGCTCTGCCTCAGCCTTCTGAGTATCTGTGACTACAGGCACATACCACCATATCTGACAATTTTTTTTTTTTTTTTTTAATTTTTAAGAGACAGGACCCTGCTATATTGCCCAGGCCGGTCTTGAACTCCTGACCTCAAGCAGTCCTCCCATTTTGACCTCCCAAAGTGGCAGGATTAGAGCTGTGTCTTTTTAAAATTTTCAATGCAACTTGAAGGGTACTGATTAGATCCACTGCAGTTTAGAAAATTTTAAAGTTAATGAGCTTATGACAAAATGTTCATCTTCACTAAAAAAGAAATACAGCATAGAAGATGAAGTCTTTTTCTCACCTGTCAGACTGATTAAAGTTTAAAAATGGTGATATTAAATAAATGTTGGCAAGGATGTGGAAGGATGAGTACTTCTTTGAACTTCTAAGAGAAATGTACATTTATATGACCTCTCTGATGATAATTTTGTCTCTGTACATCAAGCACTTTTACACTGTTTGACCCACTATTGTTGCTTCTAGGGTTTTCATTCCTAAAAACTATTGGAAATTCAAACAAAAAACAATGTAGGAAGGTGTTTGCAATCCCGCATTTATAATGCTGAGGAATTAAAAACATTCTAACAATAAGAGTGTTTCACCTCTACCATTTTCCAATTACAAAATACCATACAATTATTAAAATGGTGGTTATGAAAAAGATTTCACTACAGAGGAAAAATTTACATGTTTGAAGTGGGCACTATTCCAATATGATACATATGCCTCTCATCTCACTGTTATTTTCAAATACACCCAAGTGACCAAGTTCAGTGGTTTACGCATGTAATCCCAGCACTTTGGGAGGCCAAGGTGGGAGGATTGAGTGACAGCAAGACTGTATCTCCAAAAAAAAAAACCAAAACATACATGGTCAGAAATGTTCCAGAATGTGAAAATAACTATTTCTTGGTGGTGGTTTTATGAGAGACTGTTGTCTTCTTTATATTTCTTCTATTTTTCAAAATTTGAGTGGGAAAGCTTTCTGGGTGTGTGAAAGCAAGTATGATCTTTGTAGCTTCATTCTGGGCTTAACCTAAGGCTTTCCAGACCCTAGACAGGCACCTCAGATTCCCAAAGAGTATTCAAAATCACTCTGTCTCAAAGACTAGTTGTTTCATAATTGGGTGAAAAAGTATTATTTTTTAATTTGTTTCCCTGCTTACTGTTTAGATAAAAATTTTGATGATGAAGATTCTGTGGATGGTAACAGACCTTCCTCTGCTAGTTCTACGTCATCCAAGGCTCCACCAAGTTCTCGGAGAAACGTCGGAATGGGAACCACCCGCCGGCTTGGTTCATCCACCCTTGGATCCAAGTCTTCAGGTTAGTCTAAGCCCTGTCTCGGGTCAGCTGTCCCCACTTTTAAAACCAGAGGTGCAAGTACTTGCCTATGATGGCCCTCAGAAGTGTTACAGTCCCCATATGCATCAGGTTCCTGCTTGCTGTTCTTTAATGGAATTAGCATTGTAATACTGATGCTCATGAGCTGGTGAGTTGTAAATGTGAGCTACTGTGTTGACTTTTGCCACATTCTGGTAAGGTGGAGCCTGTCAGAGAAGGAAGCCAGCACAGAGGAAAGCATAACTCAGAGATAAGAGCAAAAGCGGGCACCCTCATGGCATTATTTAGTTATCTGGATCCAATACTGCCTGAAACCATAATTTCTATTTAACAAGACAGAGACTAATCCAGAAGTCACACTGTATCTCCTGTCTTTAAAATATGTCTGTGGACTGGCCCCTGGGTGTTGGGGTGTGTGTGCATGCTCTGCGTGCAGGATCGGGCTGTGGGTGGTGGAGACCAGCCATCTCTGCGCCAGTTCCCAGTGAGCCATGGTGAGGTGGCAGCTATTGGTGTGTCTGTTGGATGTCGGCCTGAGGTGGAGCTGGGCCAGCAGGAGGTAGCTCTGTGGGAGTGGAAGGCCTGTATTTCTCTACCTGGACCGTAGGCTCCTCATGCGGGGAGGGTAGAGCTCAAGACCTCAAAGACAATCTGTAGAAAGCTGGTTAGCAGCAGTCCCACAGAAGAGTGACCAGACTTTTAAAAGAAAACCAAATAGAAAACAGCAACAACAAAAAAACCCATCCAAAGGACCACAACCTCAAAGATCAAAGGTAGGCCCACAAAGATGAGAAAGAGTCAACACAAAAGTGCTGAAAACTCAAAAAGCCAGAGTGCCCCTCTTCCTTCAGATGACCACAACCACTCTCCATCAACGGCTCAGAACTAGGCTGAGACTGAGATGGCTGAAATGACAGAAGTAGACCTCAGAATGTGGATAATAATGAACTTCACTGAGCTAAAGGAACATAGGATTGGGGTTAGGATTAGGGTATTCTCATAGGAAGAGAGGAAGTCAAACTATCTTTATTTGCAGATGACATGATCCTATATGTAGAAAACCCTATTGTCTCAACCCAAAAGCTTCTTAAGCTGATAAACAACTTCAGCAAAGCCTCATGATACAAAATCAGTGTGCAAATATTACTAGCATTCCTATACGTCAACGTCAGGCAAGCAGAGAGCCAAATCATGAATGAATTCCCAATCACAATGGCCATGATTTGGAATACAGCTAAAGGGAAGTGAAGGACTTCCTCACGGAGCACTACAAACCACTGCTCAAAGAAGTCAGAGCTGATACAAACAAATGGAAAAACAGTCTGTGTCCGTGGATAGGAAGAATTAATATTATGAAAATGACCATACTGCCCAAAGAAATTTATAGATTAAATGCTATTTCCATTAAACTGACATTGACATTCTTCACAGAATTAGAAGAGAAACTATCTTAAAATTCATATGGAACCAAATAAGAGCTCGTATAGCCAAGACAATCCTAAGCACAAAGAACAAAGCTGGATGCATCTCGCTATTCAACTTTATATTACAAGCTTACTTTAACCAAATCAGGATGATACTGGTACGAGAACAGACACATAGACCAATGCAATAGAATAGAGAAGCCAGAAATAAAGACTCCACACCTGCAACCATCTGATCTTCGACAAACCTGGCAAAAACAAACAATGGGGAAAGAATTCCCTGTTTAATAAATGGTGCTGGGAGAACTGGGTAGCCATATGCAGAAAATTGAAACCAGACCACTTCCTTACACACTATACAAAAACCAATACAAGATGCATAAAAGACTTAAATGTAAAACTCAAAACTATAAAACCCTAGAGGAAAATCTAGGTAGTACCATTCAGGACATAGGCATGGGCAAAGATTTCATGATGAAGATGCCAAAAGCAATTGCAACAAAAGCAAACATTGAGAACTGGATCAATTAAACCAAAGAAACTGTCATCAGAGCGGACACGCAGCCTACAGAATGGAAGAAAATTTTTGCAATCTGTCCATCTGACAAAGGCCTAGCATCCAGAATCTACAAGGACCTTAAATTTACAAGATTAAAAAAAAAGCATTAAAAAGTAGGCAAAGAACATGAGCAGACACTTACAAAAAGAAGGCATACATGTGGCCAACAAACATATGAAAGAAAGCTCAATACCATTTATTATTAGAGAAACGCAAATCAAAACCACAATGAGATACCATCTCACACCAGTCAGAATGGCTATTACTAAAAAGTCAGAAAAACAACATGCTGGCAAGTTTGTGGAGAAAAAGGAACACGTTTACACTATTGGTGAGAGTCCAAATTAGTTCAACCATTGTGGAAGACAGTGTGGCAATTCCTCAGAGACCTAGAGGCAGAAATACCATTTGACCCAGCAATCGCATTACTGGGTATATACCCAAAGGAATATAAATCATTCTGTTATAAAGATACATGCATGTACATGTTCGTCACAACACTATTCACAATAGCGAAGACATGGAATCAACCTAAATGCCCATCAATGAGAGACTGGATAAAAAAAAATGTGGTACATATATACCGTGGAATACTATGCATTCATAAAAAGGAACAAGATCGTGTCTTTTGCTAGGGACATGGGTGGAGCTGGAGGCCATTATCCTCAGCAAAGTAACACAGGAACAGAAAACCACATACTGCACGTTCTCACTTGTAAGTGGGAGCTGAATGATGAGACCACATGGATACATGGGCAGGAAAAACACACACTGGGACCTGTTGCAGGGTTTGGGGCGGGAGGATGGAGAACATCAGGAACAATAGCTAACGGATGCTGGGCCTAATACCTAGGTGATGGGATGATCTGCAAACCAACATGGCACACGTTTACCTGTGTAACAAACCTGCACATCCTGCGCATGTACCCTGAACTTAAAATAAAAGTTGGAAATGAAAAGAAATAAGATAAAATATATTTTGTTCTTACAAGTAACATGGTTCCTTGTGAGACCAGTATGGATGTTGCCTTAAATAAATTTTAGGAGATTTCTCTCATAAATTCTTCCTTTCACCCCTAATGTAGGCAGTTTAACTAGTTGTTATATACAATTCTCATTTTCTCTCAAATTTTACATTTACATGCAAATTTCCTCTGAAATTTACTTCAGAAAAATTGTGTAGCTGCTGCTTTTAGAACCATTTTCACTGATAGCTGTGAGCTTTTGAGCTGCTGTTGGTGGTGGGGGAGTGGTGGGTGGGGAATCCCACGAACCAAAAAAATGAAGCTGAATGGGCCAAGTAAAAGTTGTACTCATGATTAGCATTAAAATGCTGTCTCCTACCTCCTTGAGAAGTTTGGAAATAAAGTTAAAAAAAAAAAAAAAAATCCTGTCTCCTGATGGCCTCTCCTGAATTCTGAACTAGCCCTAGAATATTGGTATCTTGACCAGACCAGTGTGGCACCACTCTGCCCCCTGACCCCAGCATCTGTTTGTGATAGAGGAGCTGCAGGGATGTTAATTGTGATTATTTCTAGTTCTTTCTAATAATTTTTTGGTATGTTTTAAAACATTTTTTTTGTTACTGAGTTTAAATTCATATAACATAAAATTAGCCATTTTAAAGGGAATGTTTGCAGTGTTTCATCTACCTTGTAGCATATAGCACTACTTTGTTCGTTTTAATGCCTGAACAATCTTTCTCATCTTTTTTCTTGATCTATTGTTAGGTAGTTATCAGCTGCACCAACAAGGCTTAGAAAATTGCTATATGATCAGACTGGTGCTTTCCCTCCAATCCCGGATCCATATCCCTTCCAGAAGTCCCTGCTGTGTAGATTATGCACATATCAGCCCTGTCTTCCCATGTTGTTTAATGCCATAGTTGTGAATTACCTGGTTAGCTCCTCCTCATCAGATACCTTAGGCTTAGGGACTGCTGTTGGCCTTTGAATACTCTGGTATGTGTGGGTACATGGTGTAGGGCCTTATGCAAAGGAGGCATCCAGGGCCTGTCTGCTCAGTGGGGTCCAGTTTTTATGCTAAAACAGACACACAGCACCACATCACAGTGAGTGACTATCGTCCTTTATAGTGGTTAGCTTTTCCACAGTGTGAGTGATCTTCAGCAAGAGTGATGACACACATTTACTGCTACCTGGGATTGTCTTTAAAGCCCCTTTCTCTCTGGATAGTCCTTCAGGACCCGGAGCACCATATACATGTCTGGTAAGCAGGTCTTAGAAAAGCAGTCATGTTAAATCATTAATGGGGGTTATGAAGATGACTGTAGACACCAATTTTTAAAATGTAAAAAAATAATCTGATAAAGCATCACTTGATATTCTTGCATAAAGGGGAGCTCATATTAGCAAAAAGAAATACTTTCTTTAAATACTTTTAAGTACTGTATACAAAAGTATCTTAGGATAACTTTGTAGGAGAAACTTATAACTGATTCTTAAGTGAAAAAAATGACAGTTATGAGTTCAAGGAAATAGAACTGTTTTCAAACTAATATAAAGTTAAATCTTAAATTATTTAGGACTTGTTTGAATATTCACAAATGTGTTATGCTGGATTATTGTTAATATTGTTATTATGCTGTAATAATTTTTTTCCCTGAAGAATTAAATTTTCTGCTTGATCCATTTATTAGGAATTTTTCAAAAGACTTGTGTATTACTACAATATCTAAATCCTTTAACACTCATACTCTACCTGCCTAAACAGGTAGTCTAAGTGACCTTAAGCTAATGTATATAGCATTGTGGAATTACTGTATTTCATCTTGATATGAAGTCAGTAATGTTTGTCAATTTCATGTCCCTCCAAAGTTCTATGAAACCTTTTTTTAAAAGTTCTAAATCTGGCCGGGTGTGGTGGCTCACACCTGTAATCCCAGCACTTTGGGAGGCCGAGGCGGGTGGATCATGAGGTCAAGAGATCGAGACCATCCTGGTCAACATGGTGAAACCCCGTCTCTACAAAAATTACAAAAAATTAGCTGGGCATGGTGGCGTGTGCCTGTAATCCCGCTACTCGGGAGGCTGAGGCAGGAGAATTGCCTGAACCCAGGAGGCGGAGGTTGCGGTGAGCCGAGATCGTGCCATTGCACTCCAGCCTGGGTAACAAGAGTGAAACTCCATGTCAAAAAAAAAAAAAAGTTCTAAATCTTCCAAAATCTAATTCTGACTGTGTATGTTTAGACTTCTTCAGTGTATGTATTATACACATTGTTTCATATTGTTTACATTTTAAAAATTCTTCTTTTATAGCTGCAAAAGAAGGAGCTGGTGCTGTTGATGAAGAGGATTTTATTAAAGCATTTGATGATGTACCTGTAGTACAGGTCAGTGAGGATATTTGAGTGTGATTACAAACAAGGGTAGATTTATTCTTCAAACTTTATTTTTCAAGTATGCCTATGCAATGTTCTTTACTAGGTCAGATAATTTTATCTATTAACACTACAGGATATCTGAGGTGCAGACTAGAAAATGTTGGAGCAAAAATCAGGCACAAGATGATCTTTCAGTGAGAACAGGAAAGACATTGGTTGTTCCGTTATTAAGTTTATGGATCAGGTCACATAAAAGAGAAAGAAATAGATGATGCTAAATTAGAGAATGAAAATGTATATTTATTCAGGGATTTTTCTTAGAAAAATTCATAAAATTGAAAGATTTGGGTGTCTGAAAAGTTGTAGAGAATGGTTTTATAAGAACTAAGTTTATACCTTCTTTGATGCTTTACTTTAAGTACCTAACAGATGAAGATTATTTATAAAAATTGGAATACAGCCACAAGCTTTTGACTGCTTTTTGCCTTAGTATTGTCTGTTACTGTTTGAGACTAATACTTTTTCTCAGCCTACACTGACTGTGTGCTGGATTCCTGTGGCACTTAGTGTCTGCTATGTACAACTCTCTTTGCCACCTTGGTTGCCATGTGTGTAAAAAAGCAGGTAACAAGACTCTCAGTGGCCTAGGCAACATGGTGAAACCTCATCTCTACAGAAAGTACAAAAATTATCCGTGGTGGCATGCACCTATTAGAGGTCTAGCTACTGGGGAGAGTGAGGTGGGAGGCGCTCTTGAACTTGGGAGGTGGCGTTTGTTGTAAGCTGAGATTGCACCACTGAAATCCAACCTGGGCGACAGACCCAGTCTCCTAAAAAAAAAGAATCTTGGGTTCAGGTTTATCCTTAGGTACTTGACCTGACCTTCCTGGCATACGTACATCAAGATTGATTATACCCTATACTTTACCTGTTTTCTAAGTAAGATGTGGGATAAATGAGGAAGAAGATTTTGAAAGTGTCTAAAATTATAGGTATAGTGTCATGCTAAAAATAATACTGAGTAATAAATGACTTATGTATCACTGACTGTTTGTCAGTAGGCTCCTTTCTCCTTTGTACATGAAATCATCTGTGAAGTTTATCGTAAAGCTATGTTTGAGGCAGGGTTATTCACATATGGAAACAAATCTTGTGGGTACGCATTTATAGTGAGAAAGATCCTCGTTATAAGACAAGACTTTTCAGATATTTTCTCATAGATATTTCTTAAAAATGAAATACCTTTTATTATATGTAATGCTCTTGACTTCATGTAATTAAGAAATAATTTGTTTATTCTACATGTTTTTATATTGATTGTAAATTAATTTTGCTTACAGATTTATTCCAGCCGAGACCTTGAGGAATCCATAAACAAAATCAGGGAAATATTATCTGATGACAAGCATGATTGGGAGCAAAGAGTAAATGCTGTAAGCCGTTGACTTCATGTGATTACATTTTCATAAGATTTATTTAAATATCTCAAATACTTTGTTATAAAATCAGGGGACAGCTCTAATGAATTTTAAATAGCGTATATTTTAAATACAAATTATCATATTTATACTTCAGCTTTTTAGTAGAGTATCTCCTTCTGTTTTTTATTTTGAAAACACACCAACTTACACTTTTATGAATCACCTAGTCTTTTAACAAAGACCTAACTGTGAAATATAGGGCGACAGCCTCCACTCTCACCTTAGTAGAGATTTTATTCTGTGATTGTTTGCCTTTAAAGTGGCTTTTTCATGGCATTTTTAGTGCATGTCCCCCAGTATTCTTTTCTTTCTTCATATCACTTGCTAGAAAGTCATGTCTCCTTTATTTTATTTTTTTATTTTTTTTATTTTTATTTATTTATTTATTTATTTTTGAGACGGAGTTTCACTCTTGTTACCCAGGCTGGAGTGCAATGGCGCGATCTCGGCTCACCGCAACCTCCGCCTCCTGGGTTCAGGCAATTCTCCTGCCTCAGCCTCCTGAGTAACTGGGACTACAGGCATGCACCACCATGCCCAGCTGATTTTTTGTATTTTTAGTAGAGACGGGGCTTCACCATGTTGACCAGGATGGTCTCGATCTCTTGACCTCATGATCCACCTGCCTCGGCCTCCCAAAGTGCTGGGATTACAGGCTTGAGCCACCGCGCCTGGCCGTCTCCTTTATTTTTAAAAGTAGATTAGGCTGGGCAGGTGGCTCACGCCTGTAATCTCAGCACTTTGGGAGGCGGAGGCAGGCAGATCACCTGAGGTCAGGAGTTCAAGACCAGCCTGGCCAACATTGTGAAACCCTGTCTTTTTTTTTTTTTTTTTTAAAAAGTAGATTAATAGAAAGTGGGGTGGGGATTAAAGTGAGGGTGTGTCATATCTGAGAAGGCTATTTTCTGTTGGTTGGCTGGCAAGAATAGAGGTGATACAATTGATATGGTATTGTACTTAAAATTCAGACCAGACAGTTAATGGTGCAGTGCAGGATAATAAAGAAATTATTCTGCAGGAATGCTTCTTCCTTTGATCATTTAAATAAATGGCAGTAGAAGTGGGGTGTGGAGGGAGGTAAGCTTGGGAGGGGCTTTTCACAAGCCAAAAGTTTTTAGTTATTTATCATTAGTGTTGTAGGATCTGTAAATACTTTTAAGATATTTCAAATGAAAAAAATCCTTTTTTTTTTTTTTTTCCAGAAATTGCAGTATGTGTATCACAAATACTCTAGTTAAAAATTATTTAATCTTATTTGTGATATGTAGATTTGTTCATTGTATTAGCTAATATTTAACTGCTGAATTCTCTTGGGAAGACTTTCTAATCAGTTGAACTTTAACTGTTTAGAGTTGATAAAAGTTTATCTCTTTATGTTTGATGGGTTCTGTTGTTTTGTATATTCTGTGATTTTTTTTTTCTGTTGTTTTGTATATTCTGTGTTAGAATTATTTTCAGTTTCTCCGAATTTTCTCTATCCCATTAGCTAAAAAAGATTAGATCTTTACTTTTGGCTGGTGCTGCTGAGTATGATAACTTCTTTCAACATTTGCGTCTTTTGGATGGAGCCTTTAAACTCTCTGCTAAGGATCTGCGGTCTCAGGTAGTGCGGGAGGCTTGTATCACGTTGGGGTAAGGACTGCGATGCTCCATATTCTCACCATAAAGTATTATTATCACCATAGAACTTCAGAGATGTCTCCTTAAGCATGTGAGCTGGGTCTCTTTCATGTAACTTCTGACTAGTCTCCAAGACCCATTCCAGTTAACACTTCTTTCAGTACTTTTACAATATTTTTTGCTCAATTATGTGAAATGTGACAGATTTTAAATTTTATTTTATTCAGTGGCATAGCTCTGAAGCCTTTATTTCAAACTTTGAAGCAGTTGTTAATATGGAAAAATGAAATTCTGTAAAATTCTGTTTCTCTGATTTTTCATTAGTTTTGCTGACAGGCAATAGCATGGTTATAAGAATGTTTGTTCCTAGCAGAGTATTTAGTTATAAAGTTAAAAGCATTTACTGCAATAAAATTTTTCCTAGTGATACATGTACTAGTGATCAAAGCTAATAAAACTTTGTGTTGGGATGTATGTCAAAATATCAGAGCAGCAGCAGTAAGAGGAGGCATTGCAGCTGTTTAAAGTTTTGGCTGCAGTTCAGATTTTGAAGCCTGAATATTTTATGTTAAGATAAACAACAAAAGAAAAAAAGCAGCCAGGGGCACTTCTTCATATTTGTGTTTTGTTAATATGTGATCAGTTTGTTTGTTTGCTAGGCTAAGAGTAGTTGGGGCAGGTGAGTTGGCATGTGCCTGGACTCCCAGCTACTTGGAAGGCTGCAGTGGGAGGATTGCTGGAGCCCAGGAGGAAGTTCATCATGGGCCGCATAGTGAGATCCTGCCTCTAGAAGACAAACAAAAGCCTTCACAAAGAGTAGTTGGATTTTTTTTTTTTTTAATAAAAATGAAACATTTAGGCTAAGAACTATTTGCCAAGTTCTCAGCATGCACATCGGAAGTCTTATACCCTTGTCCTTTATTCCTAGATGACTTTAAATGAAGGCTCTAGATGTTAAGTGGTTTATATCTTCACTGTTTCTAAGAAAAATAACTACAGTCCACTATCCATTTTGTGTTTTAGGCATCTGTCATCAGTTCTGGGGAATAAGTTTGACCATGGAGCTGAAGCCATTATGCCAACTATATTTAATTTAATTCCAAACAGTGCCAAAATTATGGCCACGTCTGGTGTTGTAGCTGTTAGGTTAATTATTCGGGTAAGTATGTTATAGGCCATACATGAAATAAGCCAGTGGTAAATACTGATGGTTGATAAATATTAGAGGCATTTTTGTTAGCATAATTATATTGAGTGAATGTATTAGCATAATTATATTGGAATTTTGTATTTATATTTTTTCTCTACTTAATTGTAGCATATGAGTTTTTTATAACTCATAATGTGAATTATGGATGTGTTATAAAGTTAATGAGGTATTGTTAACTCACTATTGGTTTAAAGTATTTGAACATTCAGTGTCTGCTTCTGAGTTCGTATTGTATCCTTGTTACTCAGGTATTACTCTTAGTCTTACCTCCTTAATCCTAGTCCTTCCATTTTAGGTATTTGTGCTTGTGGTTTTGCTGTTCACCCAAAAGTTTAATTAATCGCACGTAAGCACAGAAACAAAATGTTTTATTTGGTTAGGTTTTCTAGGCACTTATTTAAATTTATTTAATTATCCAAGTAATTTATACACAAGTTTTTAACAAAATCTAGTTCACAAAGGCTTAAAATGGTTTTTCATATTACCTCCCTACCATTTTCAAGTCATTTTTGCCTGGAGGCAGCTCTTGAAACCTTGAGGCTTGATGATGTTGTTTTAAATATATCCAGAATATTCTTGATTATTTTGGTTATTTATTTTGTATTATTTTTAGTTCTTACTGGTCTTACTTGCACTGCCTACTTAAACTGTTAACCCCAAGGTCATTACTGGACATTTCCATCGAAACAGTATCAAAATATATTGGTCTGATGATTCCTTTTAAACCCACTCAGATCTCTACAGCTGAGATAATTTAGACCTCGTACTAATGATTGTTTTAGGCTTATCTTCATGTCATTATGTTGCCTGTTCTTAACTCTGTAAATTTTCTGATGGCTTTTGACAATATTCAGTAAATTCATTTTTCCTTTTAAAATCATTGACATTCTAATCTGACGTATATGTCCTATAAGTAGGTTACTTAAGGAAGTGATTCTCTTAGTTTTGTTTTTGTATTTGCAAGTGTTCACCTCTGTTTTTTGTTGTTCTTCACAGCACACACACATCCCTAGGTTAATACCTGTCATAACAAGCAACTGTACCTCTAAGTCCGTCGCAGTTAGAAGGTAAATTTTAAAGGGTTTTCTCATTGTTTTTAAATTGTTTAAAAACAAAACAAATTCCACATCTTCTGTGGATAAAATTTCATGTTTAAAATGCTTAGTATTACTTAAAATCGTTGTAATAAATGACTTTGAGTTGAAGAATCAAGATCTATTTTGGGAAATGAATTTGGACAACTTATATTGTGTTTCTATATTTCTGTGTCTGTGTGAGAGAGAGTAAGTTTGGGGGTTAGTGGCAGAAGGAGAGGGGGAGAGGACCCTCTGTACATTTTTTTCCTGAGATTCTACCATTGCCATCGGTCTGCCTTATTCCCTGAATAAAGGCAGTAACTGCATGCAAGAAATAATTATCATAAATATCAATGGCAGTAGTTTCATATTAACATAGGTAAGGGGAAGGTATGTGTTGTTTGCATCTTCTGTTAGCGATTTCTGGGATTCTGAATCTTCACTGTCACTTGGTTCCACGCAGTTGTGGGAGATATACACAGAAGACACAGGCAGATACAATCTGGGAAACTAGCTAGGGGTTTGTTCCCAAGTCCCTGTCATATGCATGTGTCCTGGTGAGCTGCCCTAAACTACATGTGAGGAATGAGGACTCTGTTCTTTTAGCCCAGACCAGTGATTTGAGAGTTTTAAGAGTCTATTAAAATCTATGGACCCTCTTCTCAGCAAGTGGTAAATATACAGAATAGTATTGTATAGGTTTTCAGAGAATTCTTGAATACCACTAAAGCTTTTCCAGTAGACTGTATTGAGAGTCTTAAAGGATAATTACTGGCAGGCTTGGGCAACCTCTTGGCCCCATTCCCTTAGTTGTGTTTCTTGATCCTAGTCCTGTGAAAGAGTCCTTCACTCTAAGGTTTAGAGGCCAGATGACCTTTGCCAGCTGTTTGCCTTTTTTCCTGGGGTGTCATGTTGATCCTGCTAGGTTTCTGTGGGTACAAGACCCTCTGAAGCAAGAAGCAGTCCTGTATTTGTCATTTTAAAATATATTTTATTTTTTTTATTTTTAACAAATTAGCCACAGACCATCTTTTTAAGAATGTTCTTCCTTCCTTTCTTCTTTTCCTTCTTTTCTTTTCTTTTTTTCTTTCTTTTCTTTTCTTTTTTTTTTTTTGAGACAAGTATCGATATTGTTGCCTAGGCTGGAGCGCAATGATGCGATCTCGGCTCACTTCAACCTCCGCCCCCTAAGTTCAAGTGATTGTCCTGCCTCAGCCTCCTGAGTAGCTGAGATTACAGATGCCTGCCACCACACCCAGCTAATTTTTATGTTTTTAGTAGAGATGAGGTTTTACCATGTTGGCCAGGCTGGTCTTGAACGCCTGACCTCAGGCGATCCATCCACCTCGGCCTCCCGAAGTTCTGGGATTACAGGAGTGAGCCACTTTCAGCTGTCCCCTTCTTTTCTTTCTTTCCCCCAGGCCGGAGTGCAGCACACTGTAACCTCAAACTGCTGGGCTTCCAGTTAGCTGGGACTACAAGCACACACCGCCATGGCCTGCTAATTTTTTTTAACTTTTTTTTTAGAGATGGGGTCTCATTATGTTGCCCAAGGATGATCTCGAACACCTGGGCTCAAGCAGTCCTTCCACCTTGACCTCCCAAAGTGCTGGCATTACAGATGTGAGCCACCATGCCCAAGCTTTATTTTTTTAATTGGCAAGTAAAAATTGTGAAGACTTATGGTGTACAACATGCTGTGTTATGTGTATACATTTTGGAATGGTTAAATCAAGCTCTTTAACATGTGCACCACCTCACATACTTATTTTTTTGTGGTGAGGATGCTTGGAATCTACTCTCAGCAATTTTTGAGTATATAATATGTTGTTACTAACTGTAGTCACCATCACCATGATGTACAATCAATCTCTTGAACTTACTCCTCCTCTCTGACATTTTACATACATTACATCCTCTAATCTCCCAACCCCTAGCCTCTGGGAGCCACCATTCTACTTTCTGCTTCTGTGAGTCCAATTTTGTTTGCTTTAGAGGTGGTGCCTCACTCTGTCACCCAGGCTGCAGTGCAGTGACACAATCATGGCTCATTGCAGTCTCTAACTTCTGGGCTCAAGTGATCCTCCCACCTCAGTCTCCCAAGTAGTGGAGACCACAGGCATGTGCCACCACACCCAGCTAATTTTTAAACTTTTTGTAGAGATGAGATCTCACCATGTTGCCCAGGCTGACCTCAATTTCCCAAAGTGCTAGGATTGCAGGCGTGAGCCACTGCACCAAGCCTGAGTTGACTTTTTTGGATTCCACACATAAGTGAGATTGTGCAGTATTTGTCTTTGTATGCCTGGCTTGTTTCGCTTAACATAATATTTTCCAGGTTTATCTGTATTGTCTTAAATGACAAGATATACTTTGTTGTTGTTAAGGCTGAATAGAATTCTGTTGTGCATATATGCTACATTATCTTTATCTACTCATCTGGCTGATAGATACTTAGGTTGATTCCCTCTCTTTGCTGTTGTGAATAGACTTACAATAATTATGAGAGTGCAGATATCTCTTCAACATACTGACTTCATTTTTTGGGATATATACCTAGTAGTGGGTTTTATATCCATCTCATTAATAACTACATGAAAGACAAAGAGAGAAAGGAAGAAGAATACAGCTATCTGAAGTCACGAAAAAAGAAATTTATACCATCTACTGAAAAAGGGTAATTCCTAACTGTATGGCTCAAGTGGGTACCCAGGAGAATGCAATCTATCCTTGACCTAGGGTTTAGCTTCTCCTGGGGTTGGAGTGGAGCAGCTTCAGCTCCCCTGAGAGTTGAGAATGTAAAGTCAGCAAGTCAGAGGGATGATAATGAACTTCAGAACCTGACCAGCATCAGTTGAAACATTCCTCTTCCACTTACTGTTTGACTTGTTAGATGTAAACCTACCTCTCTGTAGGGTTCGGAGGGTTTACAATCATTAGGTAAAACATTTAGTGACAGCTTAATTTGTTGCTGCTGTGGCCGTTATTTTCATCTCGCTATTGTTAGGTTTCCAAGAGAAATTCAGAATGTCTTTCCTTGTGTAAGGCAGAATTTCTCCAATAAGATGACACAGATCTTTGTTGTGGAACATTGTAGGTTGTTTAGGGGATTCATCATCTTGGGCTGCCATTACAAAATCCTATTGACTGGCTGGCATGAACAACAGATTTATTTCTCACAGTCTAGAGCATGCCTGTCCAACCTGTGGCCTGTAGGCTGTATGCAGCCCAGGACAGCTTTGAATGCAGCCCAACACAAATTTGTAAACTTTCTTAAAACATTAAGAGATTTTTTTTTTTAAAGCTTATCTGCTATCATTAGTGTTAGTGTATTTTATTTGCGGCCCAAGACAATTATTCTTCTTTCACTGTGGCCCAGAGAAGCCAAAAGATCGAACATCCCTAGCCTAGAGACTGGAAGTTCAAAATCACTGTGCCTCCAGGCCAAGATTCTGGTGAGGATACTTTTCCTGGCCTGTAGACCATCACCTTCTCCTGTATCCTAACATAGGAGAGAGGGAGGGGAGAGTGGGAGAGAGGACAGAACAAGCTACCCGTTACCTCTTCTTAAAAGGGCACTAATCCCATAATAAGGGCCCCATTGTGATGCTTAATCTAAACCTTATCACCTCCCAAAGGCCCTGTCTCCAAATAACCATCACATTGAGGGTAAGGACTTCAACATATTAATTTGGTGGGGGCAGGGAGACAAAATTCACTTCATAACATTGAGCAGTTCTGGCCTTTGGCACTAAATATGAGTCACTACCTACAGTCACTGTGACAATAGAAATGCTGCCACCCTCACCAGTTTCCGAACCATACGTTCAGATTGTTGTTTCTGTATTTGGTCAGTGGGTATCAGTCAGAACTGTATGTCTTCGTGCTGAAAGAAATAATAGGGACCATCTTGCGCAGTCCCTCTGCCCTCAGAAAAGGAGAGGGAGCTAAGAGTGCAGTGTAACCAAGACAGTGCACCTTCTGTTACATATTCAGCCTGTACTTAGCACGGCTTTGTAAAATTGGTAACAAATGGATTACACACATTCTGACATTACCATATGTATTGTGGAATTAGGAGTTCAGATACAGCAGTCATTAAAGCTTGCTGATGTCTTCCAAAGAAGCTTTATAGATGAGTTAAAAATGAGCCACATTTTGAAAGATGAGCAGGAATAAGTGCAGTAAAGAGACAAGAAAAACCCAGACTTGGAAATGCCACAGGCAAAAGGGTGAAAGGAGAATCAACGTGGTCTAGATTGGGGCAGTAATGGGGAAGGTGGTGGTGAGAAATGGGGGTGTGTGTAGTTGATGCCTTTTCCTTTGAAAAGACTTGCTCCACCACTCCAGCCCCACCACTGCCAGCCCTGGGACCAAGCTGCGTGGCTCTCCTGTGAGCTGCTGGAGCCCTTGCATTCCTGGCAATGTAGCTTGTTTCTTGTCTCTCTCGTTCTCTGGGCTGTGTCTTGGCTATCATTGGATCTCTAGCATCTAGCATAGGGTAAATGGTTAGTAAATAATTATTTTTATTTATTTATTTTTGAGACAGGGTCTGATTTGGTTGCCTAAACTGGAGTGTAGTGGTGCAGTCATAGCTCGCTGCAGGCTGTATCTCCTGGGTTCAAGCAATCTACCCACCTCAGCTTCCGGAATAGCTAGGACTTTATTAGTGCTTGCCACTGCACCCAGCTAATTAAAAAAAATTTTTTTTGTACAGACAATCTCTCGCTTTGTTGCCTAGGCTGGTCTCGAATGCTTGGCTTCAAACGATACTCCCGCCTTGCCCTCCCAAAGTGCTGGGATTACAGGCGTGAGCCACTGCTCCTAGCTTTGATTTATTGAGGGATTGTGCATGGATTATAAGTGGTGAATTGGGAGGATTGTAGGAAAGAAAGTCTGGTCATTCCTTTAGATAAAGATTTTACTTCTGATTTGTGTGTTCTTGAATGGGTTCCTAGGACTATTGGGATTACTCAGGCAAAAATAGAAATGCTAGACTTAGGAAAAATAAGATTTTATTTATTTATTTTTGAAACAGAGTCTCTGTCGCCCAGGCTGGAGTGCAGTGGCATGATCTTGGCTCACTATAACCTCTGCCTCCCGAGTTCAAGTGATTCTCCTGCCTCAGCCTCCTGAGTAGCTGGGATTTCAGGTGCTTGCCACCATGCCCAGCTAATTTTTGTATTTTTGGTAGAGATGAGTTTTTGCTATGTTGGCCAGGCTGGTCTTGAACTCCTGACCTCAGGTGTTCCACCCGCCTTGGCCTCGTAAAGTGCTGGGATTTTACAGGCGTGAGCCACTATGCCCAGCCAGAAAAAGAAAATTTTGTAGAGGTAGAACCTGAAGTGTTGATGTAATCTAAATTGTTTTTGTACACAAATCAGATGAAGAAAAATCATAAAAGTGAAAAGGCTTAAAGAAGGATGCTGAACGGTTGGTTGGCAGAAGGCAAAGTAATTGGAGAAAATCCATTTTAAGCACTACCTAGTATCTCTTTAGCATGAAAATATGCAGAGCACTTAGTTTTTCAAGGTACTTTTTACTTTCTTTGGTTAAAGCATTCTCTGAAATTAATGCTAAGACCCAATTCTGTCATGTTAGTTGATCTTCTCTGTGTGTGTACATTCTGTATTAACATATTACTTAGGATAGTATAAAAACAAATGATAGTGATGAGTCCTTTTAGTGATGTTGCCATGAAGCGCAAGCTTCTGATTGGCAAGAAACTCTTGGGTCTTGTCTCTGTGCCCCTGTGGCAGCAGTAGGTGCTTAATTACTTCCATTTGCTTTGGTTTTCAGTCAGTTCTGATTCATTCTTTATGTTCTGTTTTTCTAATCATAAAAATCAAAAGAAATTTATTGGGTCACTTAAGAAAAATGTTTCATTTTACTAACGTATATATTGATAAATTATGTATTTCTTAATACTTTTTAGGCGCTGTTTTGAATTTTTAGATTTGCTTTTACAAGAATGGCAGACGCATTCACTAGAACGGTGAGCATGTGATTTGAAACAATTTTTTCCCTCTGAACTGAGTCTTGAGAGTGAATGCTTTGGTGAGTGGTCCATCTTGCTTCTATAAGAATGAAGGAATATATACATTTGTTTTCATGACTGCATCTGTTGTTTTACTGATGTTAGCCATGTAATAGTCGCAGATGCTTTTAGTGCATTTCATTGATTGAAATGTGTGTCCATGTGCATTCTGACAGCTACAAAGCCAGTGTAAAATCTTACTGTCTCTGGCCCTGCTCCTTGACATTACCATCAGTTCCCATGAGGTAACTGTTTAAAGTTGCTCTTAGTAGGCAAGTTGTAACTCTTAGGTCCTTAAAGGAATTTCACTCACTTGAAAGCTTTCTATTTCTCCCTCTGTATTTGATTCAGGCAGCCTATTTAATAATACAGTGATTATCTCACAAGTTCCATGGAAACTAGCTCTGATGTGAAAAACACAAGATTTTGTTGTTTGGGTTCATAAAAGATTGAGCTATAAGTGCGGACTTTAAAAAATCAGCTTTTATTTAAAAAAAGAAATCCCACAAGAGAATAGGGTTATCAAAGTCCTTAGGTGTGGGTGGGTTGGATTGGAGCCAGGGTGTTGGGGCAGGGTTGGAAATTAAAGGACTGTGGGAGTGCTCTGCTTTGCCCAGCCACGTGTGAATTGACAGCCTTGGCACAGAGGCTCCAAGTTCTGTGTTGCCGTTTTGAAATTATTCCTCCCACCTGGTTTCATCTGCAGTAAACCATACGTTTATGATTGTTACTGCTTTCTTTTCTAAATATCTAGACACATATCAGTATTAGCAGAAACAATAAAGAAAGGAATACACGATGCCGATTCCGAAGCAAGAATAGAAGCCAGAAAGTAAGTTTTTATTGCACGACACTTTTTAAATTAACTTCTTCTGTATTTCACATGAATTGTGTGGATCGTCTTATTAAAATCTTGTTAAGTTACTTGAACATGCTTGTTAACCGTGACTTTTAAACATGACCCCCAAAAGGCCATTTTGGAATATTTCCCTCTTTTTTTTTTTTTTTTTTTTATAACATCACTTAACCTTGTAAATAGGACTGAGGGAGACAAAAGAATGCTTATTTTTACATTCATCACAAATTGTCACACAGATCTAGAAGGCACTTACATGCATGCTCAATGTATTCTTTTACTCATTAAGCCATGTTGTGATCCAAAGCTGCTTTAATGCTTTACCATGAAAAACCATGGTCACAGGGAATTCTCTCCCTGCACTCACTTCTTTGCAAGCATTTGATGGTGCCTTGGTGTGAATCATATTAAGGGGAGTTGGATTGACCTAATGCTTGGGATTGTCACAGTGATCACTTGCTATTTCTGCCTCACAAGTGAGGTATTTGTGCCATTAGGACTGAGTTTTCTCCAATCATTTGGCCATGGCCTCTGTATTTGTTACCTCCTTAGGAATAATTTTGCCACTGTGACTGTAAATACCAGATGTTTGATGTTAAGACGTTCTTGTGCAGTACATGGATAACTACTGCCAATTTTGCATCTGTGATTTGTTTTAAATTTTCTCATAGTTGACCAACTCTCCTAACTGATACATGCTAAAATCTAATTGTTCTAGCCTATAATGTTATGGCTTACTCAGCTGCATTAACACATCCTGATCTAGTACTTACTGCTCTTTGGCCGCCTTCACAGTTAAATTATATTTCACTTGTTTCTGAGCTTATTCTAACTCTGAAGTGTTTGTGACAATTTTTTCTTGGCTAGTTTCTAACAAAGTAAGTGACATAATCGTTGCTAAAAACTGTTATGAATGGATTCGTTAATGATCTATTTATGCTGTTTTTATCTTCGTATTGGACCCTCCCCACCCCCGGCCCGTTTTTTCTTGGTCTTTAATCATAATGTGATAACGATTTCAAGTAGCTCTGGACATTTTAAAATTTTTCTTGTGTACATGTTACCTAAGGCAGTTTTAAATACCTTATATTAAGAGATGTGAAATTGTGTTTATAATAGCTGCCATTTTAATGAGCCTGTCCTGTGTTCTCAGTGTAGTCCTAGATGTTTAGCTCCACCTTCCCTAAGATTCCCCGATTTTGCAAGTTAGGCTCTGTAATTCCCATGTTATAAATGAGGCTGAGGTTGAGAGGGGGTAAGTGACTTGCCCACTGTCTGTAAGCCAGTAAAGTTGTGAGGCCAGGATTTGTACCAGGCCTCCTTTGTTCACCTTCTCCTTATGCCATGGTGCTACTATCAGCAGCTAAACCGAGGCTTCCAGTCCTTGAAAATCCTTTGTGGTGTACTCCAGAGTTCAGCGAAAGACCTGCTAGGATCCTTGGATGAGACGGGGTTTTGTGTGTTTCCTCTAGATGTTACTGGGGTTTCCACAGTCACTTCAGCAGAGAAGCAGAGCACTTATACCACACCTTGGAGTCCTCCTACCAGAAAGCCCTGCAGTCCCACCTGAAGAACTCAGACAGCATCGTGTCTCTGCCTCAGTCTGACCGCTCGTCTTCCAGCTCTCAAGAGAGTCTAAAGTAAGGGACTCAGCTTAGCTTGTCATTGGTGTGAGAATTTGTATTTAAAAGTTTGTTGCATGAAAACACAAATTCTAGCTATGTTTTTACATGTGTGCCTGTTATCATGCCCCCTTACTTCAGGTGGATCCTGGTGCAAAGTGAGATACCACCAGGGAGTGATGGAGTGGTTAGAAATAGGTGGCTTTGTTCTCTGTCATACTGGTTTTCAGTTAAATTCATATGGCAGTCCTAGAATAAAGTTTTGTGAATTATAGAATAGTATGAACTAGACACACCAGTGCTTCAGAGAGTCTTCTCAGAGGGTGTAAGTGTGAGCCTGGAGACAAGTTTGGAAACGGAGGGCATTCAAACTCTGGGATTTAATGTATTATCATCTTCACTCTGTGTTTCTAATTTCTGTCTGGAGTTACTGTTTCACTCTGTCTGAAAGGCAGTCCAAAATATATTGCTTAAAGCTTTGTTGGGAATCAGGGAGTTTATAATGTTGTGGTTCACATTGCCCAAAAAAATTCCGAAAACCCTGAAATAATTCTTCATTGTAATAATCTCCCGTTGTAGTTTGTATTAGTTCAGATAAAGTGCACGTAATAAACAGTATACATCTTTATTTTTAGTCGGCCGCTGTCTGCCAAAAGAAGTCCTACTGGAAGTACCACGTCTAGAGGTGAGACTTACAGCCACGGAGAAGGCCTGTTATTGGCTCTGGTGGACTGCCTGCAGCTGCGAGAGTCTGCCTGGGCGCGGGAGGCCGGCGGCCTGCCCTCAGTTCCTTCCCAGGCTTGAAACTAGCCTGCTCTGCCCTGCCCTATCCAGCAGGGCAGACTCTGCTTTGTCAGGGCCACTCGCTGCTGAGGACAACATTTGACAGGGTGACTTAGGAGTGAAGCTCTGTGACCTTTTCTTCCCACCTCCCCTGCATGTTGACACTGCCACTAACGGTGCACCTCCTGTCTCTGATGGCTTGATGAGACAGTGAAGACATCTTGTGGCGTTTTGAGCAGCGGCAGCAGCAGCAGGGTGATGGTTAGTGGTGGGAGGGTTGTATGTTCCAGAAAGAGGAGGGCCCAGAGAGCGTGGCACAGTGACGTCATTTCGTAAGGAAACACGCCAGATGTGAGCATTGTTTTTCTTATTTCACTTCTTCGTAGTAACCAGAAACATGGTCCATTTTTTTTCTTTGGGGTTTATAGTCTTCAATTACAGGAAAACAAATGTAATTGATAACGTTACAGCTGAGGTCACGTTTGGTTTCCTTTGGCATTGCCTGAACTCTCTTCAGGGACCAGGAGAAATTGTTGGTCAGTTTTTTATGCTCCAACATTTGTTAAAACTTGGTATTTGTTTTCAGGAAAGCAAAACAACATCAAATTTTAGCAATGTGTTTTTAAAATTCTATGTAGTCCTTATTTATATTTCCTCTTTTATCACTAAAGGTTCTACAGTTAGTACCAAATCTGTGTCAACGACTGGGTCTCTTCAGCGATCTCGAAGTGACATCGATGTGAACGCAGCAGCCAGTGCCAAATCCAAAGTCTCCTCGTCTTCGGGAACAACGCCTTTCAGCTCTGCTGCGGCTTTGCCTCCAGGGTCATATGCATCCTTAGGTAACCATACCCGTCACCCTTTCCCTCCTGCTCTGCTATGTGAGAGATGACTCTTACCTCCTAGCAAAGTACAAAAACCCATGACCGAGGCAAGTCTCACGGTTCCATGGCTTCTATTTAAATCTAAGTAGCTTTGTGCACTTGCTGCTGATTAGCCAGCCACCTTTGTTGAGTGTCCCTTTCTCTGGAGTGTCATTTGTTCTAGTGATGAGTGAGTACACAGTACACTCGTGCTTGGAGAGTGTGCAGCACTGAGCACATCCTTTCCTCAACTCTCTTTTTCCTCCTCCATGGCAAGCCCAGCCACCTCCCATATTGCCAAAGCTAAGTTTTTACCGCTCTGGCACTGGTGGGAGCAGAGCCAGCAGGTTCAGTGAGGGATTCACCAAAGGTAGTCATTGTAATTAGGTGTTTCTCAATTTGAGAATATAATCAGAGTTGGCAGGGGTAGGACTGGGTCGTGGGAATGCCAGGAGGAATCTGAAGGAATGTGATGAGCTCATGAATCAGCATAACCATGTCTGTACAAAAGAGTGTCGTCCTTCCATGTGTCACCTTGGGAGGAGCATGCCCTTACTCTGATGATTGCCCAAAAGAGGTTTTTAAAAATTACTTTCAAAACTTTTAATATATGACATAGTGATAGATCAGTTACTCTTATTTTTCAGCAGATGCTTAACACATACTGTGTGTCAGGCTGATTGTTTATTTTGTTTTATTTTTGTAAGAGCCAGGTCATTCAAAGCCAAAATCTAGGGACTTAGCTGGATTGGTTCTACTTTAGATTTTAAGGAAATGAACAAAATTTAAAGTTTCTGAAATATTGAGATGGAGTTACTCATGTAACTTTCAAACAAATTCCAGTCAGTTCTAAAACTAACATTCTGAAAATGTTTTGAACATTGGAAGCACAGTGAGCATATAGCACCCAGGGAAGATTTTAGGGTCTCCCATTTATTAGCTGTGTGACCTGGAGCAGGCCATGGAATCTGTAAGTCTATTTCACATACCTATAAATTACTTGTAATAATAGCCACCTAACTCATATATGAGACTAAATGAAATTATATAAAGATTCTTTATAAATGATTGTCCTGTAAAGTAGAAGAAGGTGTGATTGTGATAGGAACATTATTAATTTGAAAGATTGGTGTTCTGGAACATTTGCTCAGTCTTGTTTTTTCTGCGGAAATACCTCATACACACATAATAAGTGAGAAGAAACTCATTAAGAACTCTTTTTAAATTGTTTTAACTATTGCAACATTATATAGGAGCGTAGTAACCATTGAGCAGAGGAGAAGTAACAGTTCTTCCCTCCTATGCTGAATTGGTTCTTTTAGTTTAGTTTTTCAGTACTTACCTGTTCTTTAGCATATAAGATCCACCTTTAGTATTTGTAATTAGTATTTGTTTCATTGCTGGAAAAAGTGAGTAAACAGCCTTTAGAGTACTTAGTATCTGTGTTTTTCTGTCTGTATTTGGAGTGTTTAAAATGGATAGTATAGACTTCCCCCAGTGCTAATAAAAGCCCTCTTGTCTTTTGGTATGATAATACAGAGCTGACCCTTCAAAAGCACTGATGATAAGTTTTCAATCCAGTATTAACCTCATCAAAGAACAAGACTGGAGTATTCAAATTCTGTTTCCTGAGAATTCTACCTCAACTTTCCTTATTGTGTCCCAAAACAAAAACACGAAAAAATTGAAATATAACACAATCCTAGTGAGAATTTGTTACAATTGCTGCTTAGGTTGACACATGACATCTTTGCAAAAGTGGAGCTTTAAAGCTGATGATCCTTTTCCAAACTTCTAGAGTCCAGACACATGAGGGAAGACATGGAGTACGTAGGCCTGGACTCAGGTACCATGCTCGACAGCTTTTGCTGCTGGACGTGTAGTTGGGATAGGCATTGCTAGAGCAAGCTTCTCTGAGCTTCTTACTTGCCTCTGCCCTTTAGATGACTCTTTAGTATTTTAGTTTCTAATCCCTCCTCTCTGCCCTCTTCTGCTGGTATTTTTCCTCCAAGCAAAAGGAACTCTTAAGAAGATGAGAGTTGGCTAAAACAAAAATCTTTCTTTCAACTGTGGCACTACCCTGGGTTGCCCTTCTGTGTTTCATTTTCCAAAGGCAAAAAAACATTATGCTATGTTAAGCTAATTTCAATACACGGCACACTTACTTGCTTCAGACTCTGCTTTGCTGTTGAACTTGTTTCTCTTTTAATTTTGTTTTAAATTGTACTTTTGCTTTTTTAGTAGCTAATAACATTCGGCTTTTTAATTTTTTGAATGTTACTAACTGTTCCCTGTTATCCCTTCCCTTGTTTTTTAATTTGCTTAAAGATGGTACTACCACTAAAGCGGAGGGTAAGCGGTTTGTTTCTGTGATTGAGGTGTGTCTCACTTTCTCTGGTCCTCTGTTCTCACCAAGTGTTGCCCAGTACCCACATGTCTTCACCAAGGTCCCTGCATGAGATGTTGCACGCTGTTTCTCCTCCTCTCTTTTCATCCTGTCTCCATTGGGTTTTTGCCCTACCTCTACCTGAGTTCTCCTTCCCTTTCTTGTTCAGTCTTTGTTCTTGTGTATTTTGGCACTGAAGTATGCTGTGCGTGGTTTTTAATGCCGAGTCCACACTCTGGAGAGGAGCATCCATGTCACACTGTGTGCTGCTGTCCTCATGGACTGCCTGTCTGGGGTTTTATTAGTCCTGAAGCACTGCCTTCGCTTTTGTTTCCTTCCTTTTGTGTTTTTGTGGGCCTCTCAGGATTTGCCTTTCCTGTTTTGAAAGTAAATTTCAATGTCAATTATTCAGACTAAAGGCTGGTAAACGTTTTCTAACAGGTAAATTAAAGAAATAAAAACAATATTTTTCTCTCCTCTGAAGGCACTACTGACTTATACCATGCTATTTTTTGTTTGTCTCACTGACACGTCTCATTCCTTCATTTACTCTCATTCATCCCCTTGTCAACCATGTATTAAATGCCTTCCATGTGCCATGTTCTGTACTGCACACCGAGGATGTAGCAGTGGTGAAAGAAATAGGCATATTTAAATCCATTTTATTTTCTTTTTTATGTCATTCTCAAGAAGCTCTTTGAGGAGGAGGAGGAGGAAAAAAGGAAAAAAATAAATAAAAATTAAAAAAGAAGCTCTTTATGTTTTGTATTACCTTTTGAATTTTAGACATAGTTGTTTTAGTCTGTTCAGGTCTTTGATAACTGCGTATAAGACGATGTCATTCCTTTGCTAGGTAGAACACATGATAATGCTTTAAGTAATTGAAATTTAGATGAACCTTCTCTGCCTAAATAGAGGCTTAGACCCACCAACCCTCAGGATAATTACTTAACAATTGAGAACAACTAGTTCATTTTCATGTATTATTTTGTTGCCCTAAGGGACCAGCATGCAAAGTTGGCTGGGTTTAGCTTGATATGTGCAGCTCAGTTCTTTTAATCCATATGCTGCTTTCTAAGGGTCTCGTAAAGGAAAGATGAGAATGGATTTATTTTTTTAAGATGAACATGGTCCCAAGATCAGTGTTTCTTAGATTCATTGCATCGTGAGAATTATCTAGATACTGAAAAAATAGTCTTAGGTCCTTCCCCCTGAAGACGCTGATTAAGTTTGGAAGGAACCAGAGAATCTGAATTTCTAATAAGCCTCATTGGTGGTTCTTAGGGTCGGACAAGTTTGTAAAACAAAAAGTTTCTAAAATGAAAATATGGACAAGAAATCTCTGCCATGATGAGGACGTCATGGCTGATAGCAGAAGGCAGAGACTGGTGTGACTGAGAAGCTGGTTGATAATTTTTTTCATTTCTTAAGCTGACAGGAGTAATTTTATATTTCTCCTCCCCAGAGAAACAATCCCAAGTGATTTCTCAGCCTTGCTGGGAAGGGAGGAGGGGAGTAGAAGAGAATAATGTAGATGAATGGGAAGCAAAGACATTACATGGGAAATTATATGTTTTTCCAAAATGCCCTGATTTCTATGCCTATATAACAGAATTGAAATCAGCCTGTTATTCCACCCAGCCCTAGAACTTTTTAACTTTTTTTTTCCCCCATCAGTTCCACAGTCCTGAGTAAGGTCAGAATTGCCCTCTAAGTTATTGTTCAGGATACTAACTCTCTGGTTTTCCTCTTGCTGGGAGAAATTGTTTTTATGGAGAACTCAGGCCCTGACAATAGAGACCCTTGCAGAAGGAGCACAGGGAGTGTCCGTGTTTGTGTACTGGCACTGCCCAGGCTGTGGCAACACTGGCTAGTCAAAGCCTGGGGAAACCTGTGAGTTTGAACACTTCTAGGCTGTTCTGCTGGTTTCAGCAGTGTGACTCCAAGAGTCGGTGCTGTTTAGAAAAGCTGCAGTGGTTTGTTAGGTAAAGTCTGCAGAAGATGTCACCTAGTACCTTTTCAATATGAGTTTTCCTCTTGCATTTTGGGAACTATTATGGGCCTTTAAAAAATTTATTAATAAGTCTCTTAAATATTTTACAATCTAGCTTCTGAGACAAGAAGATTTTAAAACAGTTATATGCTCTAAATTAAAAATTTACAGGGTGGGTTCAGTGACTTACGCCTGTAATCCTAGCACTTTGGGAGGATGAGGCGGGTGGGTCACTTGAGGTCAGGAGTTTGAGACCAGCCTGACCAACATGGTGAAACCCCATTTCTACTAAGAATACAAAAATTAGCCGGATATGGTGGCGTGTGCCTATAGTCTCAGCTACTCAAAAGGCCGAGACAGGAGAATTGCTTGAGCCCAGGAGGCAGAGGTTGCAGTGAGTGGAGATCGCGCAACCACCGCACTCCAGCTAGGAAACAGAGCAAGACTCCATCTCAAAAAAAAAAAAAGGCAGTATGTTCGAGTTTACTGGCAATTTTATTACTATAGTAAATGTGAAAAATGTATATTCCTTAGGAGTTATTTATTGTACACCTCAAGGAATCCTAACATTTATGACTAATTAGAAAAATACTTTTTGTAAAGAACTAAAAACTAAACTTTTAGATGAAAGTTTATTTCTAGGTAATCTTTAGTATGTTATGTCTCAGTAATTTTGGAGATTCTCATGAGGGAAACATAGTGTCTTTTATGTTGTACATGAGAAAGTTTATGATTAGATGTCATATGGTAAATGAATGCATTCTCGTACTTTTTTAAAAAGCTATTATGCTTGGGAAAAGCATTCATATTTTTTCCCAAAATAAATAACTTTAAATGAAAAGTTGCAGTGCTTGAATGGCCTCTAGGACTGACAGCCATTGTTTGTTCGGGGGAATAATCATGTTTATTAAGATGTAGTCAAAGGCCATATCAACTTTTGGCGATTTTAATTAAGATTACATAATAAATAAAAACTATATAGCCTTGTCTTCTCTTCAGGAAAAAGAACGTAGATTTTAGTACAGTTTTACTGGGAAATAAGACAAAAAATTATCCAAGACCTGTGAATTTTAGGTACTTGGCCTTTTTACACGATGGGAAAAGTCTGTATGTCTATGTATAGAAGTAAAAGAGCGTTAAGCTTCTTTTAAATTAGTCTTTTTTTTTTTTTTTGAGACGGAGTTTCACTCATGTTACCCAGGCTGGAGTGCAATGGCGCGATCTCGGCTCACCGCAACCTCCGCCTCCTGGGTTCAGGCAATTCTCCTGCCTCAGCCTCCTGAGTAGCTGGGATTACAGGCACGCACCACCATGCCCAGCTAATGTTTTGTATTTTTAGTAGAGACGGGGTTTCACCATGTTGACCAGGATGGTCTCGATCTCTTGACCTCGTGATCCACCCACCTCGGCCTCCCAAAGTGCTGGGATTACAGGCTTGAGCCACCGCGCCCGGCCCTAGTCTTTTTTTTTTAAAGACAGAGACTCACCTGTCACCCAGGCTCTGGAGTGCAGTGGCACTATCACAGCTCACTGTACCTTTGACCTGCCAGGCTCAAGTGATTCTCCTGCCTCGGCTCCACACCCTGCCTGTCAGAGTAATAACTGGGACTGTAGGCATGCACCACCACACCTGCCTGGCTAAGTTTTTCATTTTTTGTGGAGATGGGGGTCTCTCTATGTTGCCTAGTGTGATCTCCTGGGCTCAAGTCATCTTCCTGCCTCAGCCTCCCAAACTGCTGGGATTACAGGTATAAGCCACCATGCCTAGCAGGAAGTTATTCTTTTGGGGACGATAGTTCTAGGTAGCGAAATTTAGAAATGATCAAATTCTTCAGTTTGGTTCTATGAAAGATGCCAGTGTATGAGTGAAGACTGGTTTAATTATGCCCCCAAGCAATGAAATGTACAACAGGTATGTATGCCAAAATGTCACAGTGTGATAAGAATGGAGATTTGCTTTGAAGACCTTTTAATTTTACAATCTTTAATTTGGGAATCTGCTGAAAAATTTGAAACATGCAGGAAACAGAAAAACCCTAGTGACATGAAGTAGTGGTTTCTCAGCTGCCTACCAGTAGTGGTTTTCTCAGATAGGGAAACTGTGCCTACAAACTATACTTGGTGCACAGGCTGAGTTTCTCGTTTTGGAGTCTTTTTTAGAAGGAATGACAATGTGAGTGAAAAAGGATCCTTAGGAGCAGGATTAAAAAGTCGTGAGATGAGTCATCTTTATTCGATGAAAGTCAAAGACTGCGCTCCGCTTACAAGTCTTTGTTTGCCTCTGGGTCTGCCTTTGCTCTGGTTAAGTTTGTTTGTTGGTGCATCTCTTGTTCATCCTCCCTCCAAAATTCTTTTTGTTGTACCGTTCTTTACCTCTTTTTTTTTTTTCCTGCTACTTGTGCTATTTTTTTCTTCTTTCACATTGATCTACTTGTCTGTCACTTAATAGATTATAATCCAGAACTAAAGCATATTTTTTACTGTTTGTTGCTTTATTTTTATTTATTTGTATTTTGAGATAGGGTCTCATCATCCAGGATAGAGTACAGTGGCACGATCATGACTCACTGCAGCCTTGACTTCCTAGGCTCAAATGATATTCCCACCTCTGCTTTCCGAGTAGCTGGGACTACAGGTGTGCAACACCATGCCCTGCTAATTTTTTGTATTTTTTTGTAGAGATGGGGTTTCGCCATGTTGCCCAGGGTGGTCTTGAACTCCTGGACTCAAGTGATCCTCCTGCCTCGGCCTCCCAAAGTGCTGGGATTACAAGCATGAGCCACTGCACCCAGCCTGCTTGTTGCATTTATTGAGACTTTTCTCCCAAATTACCCCTGCACATTTAAAATCATCTTTTAAAAGCATACACAGGTACTCTTAATAATATTGCCAAATAAATAGACTGAAAACGAAACAAAATGAAACAAAAGACATCTCTTCCTATAAGATATATACTTGAGTTTAATACAACTG